CTGCGAAATGACTCGGACGATTTGGGGTCGTAAATTTGTAGTGAAAAGTCGACTCCTAAGTTTCTGACGCCTCGACGTGCTCGGAAGGCCCCTAATAATCAGTCAAGTTGGAGCTCACGACTCACCCTTTCGCCGTCCTCACCCCGACTCGCCCAGGGCTCGCCCAGGACGAGCCCGGGCATGGTATAGGTCTCGCCATCCCTGAACTCCTACCACGTCGACTGCGGCGTGTCGGCCTCGCATCAATCTTGTTAAATTACCCGCCCGGCCAGGAGTCGTTCTCTCGCTCGTGGATTGATAAATTGCCCGGTCCCCGTCTCCCGCAGACACGGCAGCGCTCCGACGAGTCGAGTCCTCGAAACCGAAACGCGCCGAGGAAAATCAAATTAACGTGGCACGTCCTCGCTCTTCCGTTGATTTCGCCTATCCGGCACATATCCGGAACAGCCCGCGAACAACTTGTTCGAGGTATGCATGCGTCAGGTTCGGATGTCACCGCGAGGCTCGACGGAATCATGGGAATGATGATCGGGATCCATCCTACTTTGTTTCCTATCATATAGGGTCAGGACAATTTTACGACAATTCAGAACACTCTGGTAATCGATAAATTCGTATTTGAACGGGATATAGGCAAAAAAAGTGTTGTATGCACTTCTATGCTAAAACGATGGGAATACGAGGTCTTGGCGTGAAAATTTAATTTACCTGGAAATCACAGATGGCGCAGGGGGTCCCTCTGCAGTCAATTAGGACAACAGAAAGCATGAATCCAGAGGATTTCTGGACTTTTACTTCGATTTCTTGGTATTTATTGTACGAAAACGACAGGTGGAATATGCCATTTGGTATAATACCCAAGATAATTAGACACAATCAATATAAAAACGCACATATCCGGAACAGCCCGCGAACAACTTGATCGAGGTATGCATGCGTCAGGTTCGGATGTCACCGCGAGGCTCGACGGAATCATGAGAATGATGATCGGGATCCATCCTACTTTGTTTCCTATCATATAGGGTCAGGACAATTTTACGACAATTCAGAACACTCTGGTAATCGATAAATTCGTATTTAAACGAAATAAAGGTAAAAAAAGTGTTGTATGCGCTTCTATGCTAAAACGATGGGAATACGAGGTCTCGGGGTGAAAATTTAATTGTCCTGGAAATCACAGATGGCGCAGGGGGTCCCTCTGCAGTCAATTAGGACAACAGAAAGTATGAATCCAGAGGATTTCTGGAGTTTTACTTCGATTTCTTGGTATTTATTGTACGGAAACGACAGGTGGAATATGCCATTTGGTACAATACCCAATATAATTAGACACAGCTGTCAATATAAAAACGCACATATCCGGAACAGCCCGCGAACAACTTGTTCGAGGTATGCATGCGTCAGGTTCGGATGTCGCCGCGAGGCCCGACGGAATCATGAGAATGATGATCGGGATCCATCCTACTTTATTTCCTATCGCGGATCGTCGAGATAGATTAGATTAGCCGACGTAGATTCCGTCAGTCCGGATCAGGATTTGTATTCCGTTTAGAGCCTCTAATTGTACGCCGCAAATGGGTTTTCAGATCATTCCAAAATCAACTTGGATGCAGTCGAGGTCCTACTTTAGACCTTAACACATTCGCGACAGCTGACGTGGACACACGTTGTTTTAAATTCTATTCCTGGTTGCCGCTGACGTGAATCACGTCCATAACGATACACGGTACAAGTTTGCGGCAACCAGTTTCAGAATTTCATTATTTTTGGCCGGTACTCAGTATTTGAAACGGAAAAAGTTTGTCGGTCGCGAATGTGCTAAGGTTAAGGTGAAGTTAAGGTAGGCGAACAACAAACTGATGAAGACCTTTCGTTCGACCAATCCTTAGTTGGGCTAAAAACAACTATCGTGTACACTTTCTACATTATAAAATTCTTCATCGAATCACCCACAAGTTCGTTGAGACGCGACCTTGGAGATACCAATAGAACATTGAAGACTTTTCTATCCGAAGAATCGAAAATACCGATGATAACCTGATAAAGTTGCCGCAGCCACCTTCGACACGGCTGATAGTACCTACATCAGCTCCGAAGGTATAAACCCATCCTTGTAGGCAACTTACGCCGACATTACATCACGGTAAGTACACGTAGCGGGACATTTTGACAAAACCAATACTGCAACCAACGGGATAATCGAAAATCAATAAAGGGGTCTTCTTATCTAAAGGTTGGCAGCTTGGCGATGGGCTAGGGTAGACGTTCAAGATTACTGCCGCGTCGACACCGAATGGCGGTATCAAGGAGTGATTCTCGCGGCGGCTCGTTATAAAAGAAGGCAAGCGCGTGCAGCGCATTCCCTATTACTCCGAACCGTGGTCCAGCACCTCATCCAATCCCAGCCACCGAGTATTTCCCCAGCCCATCCGCCGTTCGCCCTATCGCGTCCTGTCTTGCGATGGAGATAACCATCGGCTCGTTACACCTTGCGGCGGCGGCGGGGTTCTAACGTGTAACCCGCCCAAGCATCGCCACCTAGTTGGATCTCGGGATAAGATAGAAAGAAGGCCGCTGCTAAGACTAAGCCGTCGCAGATAGCGTCTCTAAGCCTGCGACCGCCGCCACTGGCCGGGGTGTGCGAGTGTGGCGCGAGTGTGGTAGGGTGTGAGCCATGAATGTGAACGCCAGGGCGACATGAGTGCGGTCCGGTGTGTGGAGCGAATGTGGTAAGGTGTGTAGACGATGGTTCCTATACCTGTGGGTGGACGAGGGTGCACCTGTGTGGGAACGTACCGAAGCTAATGGTTTGCCCGCGGGCTTTAGTGCGAATGCTCCAGCCCTTCCCACCAGCATGGCAGTAATCCTTACATAGGGTCCTCAGATCCTGCCGCGGATTAGGGACGTCCAAAACTCCATTGTCCTACTCCGTGGCCAATGAAACGTCGCGGATAAGAATGGGATGCGCGGAATCGGTGGACTTCGCGGAATCACATCGCTGGATTCACTTTACAGGAGCCTAGATTGCGGTCCAAAGCACCCTGGTAATAGGGGTCACCCAGGAGATCGTCGTCGAGCACTTCTCTGGCATCGTTCCGTGGACTGAGATTTAAATGACCCGGAGAGGCTTTCGAGGCTGACTTTTTTTTTAACGACGCTGTATGGCTTTTTTTCATCTCCATCGAATGAAAATCGCGATTCGGTACATATATTTCATTTCTTGCTATTAAATTGTTTGTGGTATCGTTTCCATGACTTTGGTAACTAGGTGTACATTGATCATCTTTACATTGCACTGTTAAGAAAGAACACTGTAATTTTATACCATTTTTAAATAAAACTGATAACATGTGACATGAATCTAATACACCAGTGTTTTATTACATAATTTCACTCTATTTTAACGTGGGGTAATAATTGTGTATATATTTAAAAATTATTAATGAATGTATATATACATTTTAAGGCATCAAGGGTATGTACTTAGACAGCAACTCATGTACTAAACGTGTTTTTTGAATACTTTTAATTGTGTAATTGTAATTCTACTTGTACTTAGAGCTGGGTAAAATGGTTCTCAAGATGTTTTTAAAATAAAAACTGCGAAATAGTTTCATAAAATCCATTTAAATCGTAAAATGGTTTTTTGTTTCCTTAACACAGTTTTTATTAAAGTAGAAAATGTGAAATATATATTTGAAATTGATTAGTAAAAAATGAAAAATGAATTTTTAATATCTTATTAAGAACGCGTGTATTTGATTGAAAACTTATATTTAAAAGTACAAGGAAAAAAATTAAATTTTCTCAGCTTTTGCGAACGTGGCTCTTTCAAGTTTTGTGTGTTGTTTGAGTTCTTAAACATGTAACTGTCTGATTGGTTCTTTTCTTTCCTAATGCTCATTTGCATACACCCTACATCGATATGCATAACTGTATATGTATAAATCAATCTTATACGTATCTTCCCTAGATATATTTAATTTTATATGGAAATTAGTTCAAAATCTATTTAAAAAAGGAAACGTAAAATAGTATATTGTTCTGATTTGAAATACAAAATTGAAAATGACATTTCACATTTTAGATGACTAAGTCAAATCAATTGAAATAATTTCCCAGCTTTACATGTACCTCTGCTTAGGTATGCTTCCCTATTATTGTTTATGCAGAAAAAATCTGGAGCAACTTGTATCCTTATAACTGATCGTGTTTACACTGTTTAAACTTAAATGTTCTCCTCTAAAAAAACCTCTAGTTTATAGCGTACATCAGTGTATTTTTTAATACGACTATATGTTTAACTGCACGCGACAAAATAAGTAGACTTACTTCATATAATACAAAGAAAAGAAGATTGTTCACGAGATTTTACGACAAAAAACCGTTTCGCCACATGGCGAGTAACCAGATAATCTTAAGTCGCGAAATTAAAATCTCCACCGATTTTCTGGATATTTAATCCGAGGTTTTGCTCTAATCTCAGTTTACTTAATGGCAGTTAAGGTAGTCCCCGACTATTCATCCCGTGTAAACCAAACACTAATGTCGAATTTGAAATACGAGCCACGAACTTGGCCTTCAATTTAAACGCGGTCATTTTCTTGTCGTCGTGTGGAGTACCGACCACGCTTAATATTCCAGCGTTTCCTCCCAATTACATGCAAATTTATCCCAATTGTTCAGGCTTTAAGTTACCGAAATGTCCAATTGCTGGCGAGGGTCTATCTCTTCCCATCTTCCGCAATTCTTACTAAAATAACAATTCTCTCGTTACACATGGGTTGCTCATGAATAATGGAAATAGCAGGCGAAATATATTCTGGACGGCATTCGTTTATCGGGAAGAAATCCTCATCCGTGTGTCAGCGTTCTCCGAAATCCTCTGAGGCGTCCTGGGAAGTGCAGGGCATAAGAGCCGGAGTCTATCTTACGATAACCTTAATTAAGTGACGCGTATCGCGAGCCTTCGCGAGAAATGGCTTGTGAGTCGCTAACGTTCAGGGCATATCGTACACACAGCCAGAAAGCGTCTCGGAGGAGCCGGTGCCACCTTCGCCTCCTTCGCCGCCACCATCTGCACCGGTACCATCAGCGTCGCCACCATCCCCACCGCCACCATCAGCATCACCACCATCTCCACCGCCACCATCGGCATCATAACCATCTCCACCGCCATCAGCATCACCACCATGCCCACCGCCACCATCAGCACCGGCACCATCAGCATCGCCACCATCCCCACCGCCACCATCAACATCACCACCATCTCCACCGCCACCATCAGCATCACCACCATCCCCACCGCCACCGTCAGCATCATCACCATCCCCACCGCCATCATCAACACCACCACCATCCCCACTACCACCATCAACATCACCACCATCCCCACCATCAGCATCACCACCATCATCAGTATCACCACCATCACCACCATCCCCACCGCCATCATCAGAACCACCACCATTCCCACTACCACCATCAGCATCACTACCATTCCCACTGCCACCATCAGCATCACCATCATCCCCACCGCCACCATCAGCATCACCACCATCACCATCGCCACCATCAGCATCACCACCATCCCCACCGCCACCATCAGCATCACCACCATTCTCACCGCCACCATCAGCATCATCACCATCCCCATCGCCACCATCACCACCTTCACCACCGTCATCCTGGAAGAGTTAATCTTTCAGGGACGGGCAGTGACACTCGTCCATAAATTTTCAACCGGAGCTGCGGTAACGGACGGACGTCAGTGAAAGACCGAGAGAGCGAGAGAGGAACGCAAGCCGTGTCACTCGGCCAGAGAGGACGAGTCGTATAGTATTGAATGATAAATGACCGACATTAGAACGGTTAATGGGCCGGCTAGACTGACTTCTACAACGGCTGCGGCAGATTTTCCGCTAGACGAGCGAGCTCTCCACGTCGACCTCGTGTCCTGGTAGCTTCAAATTGTCACAGGCTTCTGGTCGCCTCCAGACGCTGGCGTGCTTTTTATATACAAGTTTGGCTCAGCCTGCGATTTACGTATCCTCTCTAATGGACTATGTGCAGAGTTCCAGTAAATTCGAAGAATCTACCTGCAGTTGTAGTAGAAAGCAATGATTTAATGTCCGTTCCCTGGGCGTTCGCATTTTACTCATCGGATGCACGTTTTATTAGGTTGAGAAGTAAGTTCCCGTCGTTTTAATTACGTCACGTTAAAAACCGCGGGTACTCTTCCTCAACCTGATATTTCTAAGTATTTATGTATAATTCCTCTCCAATTTAAGAAAAACTTGGAAGTTAATGAGAATTATGGGATATGGACGGTTATTCTTAATTATTCTTTCAGGAAAGGCCCCTAGGTGTTTGGTACTGATTCTTTGGAGCATGATTAATATGAATCTCTATTTATATTATTCCGCACGTGAAATTTCAATCAATAACTAACCGAGAGAGTTATTGGCGCACTTATTGTTTAATCGGACGCGCTAACAATAACGAGAACATTTACAGAAATTGTTTTAGTACTAATACACTAAGATGAATATAAATTGTTATTAATAGCAAGGTAACTTAAGGTAATAACGCGCATATGGGTAATACACCCCAGGAGCATCGTACTACGATTTTTTTAAATTACATTTCTGTATAGAATTGTATTTTATTTTTGTAGTTTGGAACTAAAATAAAAATTGGTCGCGTACGTCCTGCTCATCTTCTCTTCCGAAAGTACTTTATATTTCAACTTTCACAGGCCTTTTAAATTATGGTGGGCCTTATTACCTTAAGGTACCATATATTAATAATTTACGCAGATTGTGTTAACACCTCATTTTCTGAATCTTTCACCCATGCGAACTTACACGTATTACAGAGACTTAGGACGTTTCACGTCGATAGCTGGGCAAAGTATTTTCATACAGTCATTAAATTCCATTTTGTTTCATCGATTCGTTAAATTGGCGAGTAAATTTCCTCGTACTCCATTTCATATTTCAATAGGGTTGCTTGACAAGAATTTCGACCCGTCATCGTGGAACGCTCTTCGGGCATGTGGTTCCATTTTTTGCAACGTCTACCGTGAAGGTAACTTCACTTGAATACTTATACACCGAAGCGCAGTTCTCATAATTTATATGAAGCTTAAAAAATTCCAAAAGTATCCTCGGACATCCATTCGCATGGTAACTACTTTCCGATTACGGTCGTTTAGAAACCGACCAACAGCCTCCGGTGGAGGAATTAATATGGACTGATCACGGTCGATGATGCTCAACCATGAAATTTACTTACAAGGAAGGTATCCCAGGCCGATCTCTCCGATCTCATTCCTTTTATAATATGTTATAGTAGACTGTAAACTAAGCGACACGTATTTTTTTTTTATCTGCCATTAAACACTTTAAGGGGGTGAAACCACAATCCAAAGTAAGGCCTGCGAGGGATGGCTCACCCCTTAATTTTTTTTTTTTAATTGAGGAAATTACATTTTTCATTTCTCGTTATGAGAACGCTTTTCCAGGTGGATTGGTTAAAAAATATTGTTCTTGTGGGTGAAACTGCTACATCGCTCCTTGACATCCCTTACTTTGGGTGGTGGTTTCACCCCCATAAGGTGAAGTGAAATACGTCGAGGAACTTGATCGACGTCGATAAAGAAGATTTTTCTAAATGCCTGCGTTGCCGACGTTCGTTTTTATATTGACAGTTGTGTCGAATTATATTGGATATTGTACCAAATGGCGTACTCCACCTGTCGTTTTTGTACAATAAAGAAATCGAAGTAAAACTCCAGAAATCCTCTGGATTCATGCTTTCTGGGGCCCTAATTGACTGCAGAGGGACTCCCTGCGCCATCTGTGATTTCCAGGTCAATTAAATTTTCACTCCGAGACCTCGTATTACCATCGTTTTAGCATAGAAGCGCATACAACACTTATTTTGCCTTTATCCCGTTCAAATGCGAGTTTATCGACTACCAGAGTGTTCTAAATTGTTGTAAAATTGTCCTGACCCTTTCGATTCTCGTATCAGAGCCTTCGATAATTGTATATCGATCGAAATATGAGAGCTCGATGCCATTTTGGTTCTGGTCTGGACTGAGTTGAAAAATTTTGTTGAAAAATCCAAATTTTTAATGTGTCAGGACAATTCTTAGATGATCGGGAGTGATGTGTCAAAGTTTCGGACAGTTTGGTCTAATACCCTTAAAAAAAAGTGTTGCATTCGAATCGGGGTTTCAGTTCACCTTAAAGTGTTTAATTGCAGATAAAAAAGAATACGTATCGCTTAGTTTTTAGTCTACTATTACATATTATAAAAGAAATGAACTCGGAGAGATCGACCTGGGATAACTTCCTTGTTAGATCCCCGAGGTAATGGACCTTCAAATTTGGTCGGGGCCAACCCGCGGTAGCTGACATATCATCGTTAGGGTCACTCATTATTCAAACTTACCGCGTTCTATCTATCTCGGTTTTACATCGACGACGATGTGAGCCGGGTGACGATGTCGCCGTGGGATTCGCGGCATGCATTATTCACAATTTTATATTGAAATTGTACGGGGCTCACCGTCACCGGGCACAGAGTAGAATGGAATGGAAGAGAATGGAAGAATGGAGGGAAGAGGAAATGAAAGCGCACTTTATACCTCGCACCTCGACTAGACCCGTCAAAGGTTGTTACCCTGTGACAAACGGAGCTGTATTCCCAATGGTTTCCTCGCAATTCTCGAGGATTTGCGCGGCAAGCGCTGAAGAATTACGCGCGGAGTTCAAACCGTGTTCTTCCGCACTTCAAAGAGTCAAGAAAAATGGACGGGAAAGTGGTCCATAAAAGTGGGTACAGTCCAAGTAGGAACATTTCGACTCGCGTTTATTCGGCACATTGTTAAAAAAATTCATATACGTTTAGTACAAAAGGTTGCAGTAAAATTATAAATTTGAAAAGTGGGTACAGTCCAAGTAGGAACATTCGGCCTCGCGACGCCGAATACGTTTATTTAATACACTGTTAAAAAAATTCATAAAATTCATATACGCTAAGTACATGAGGTTGCAGTAAAATTATAAATTTGAAATGTGGATACAGTCCAAGTAGGAACATTCTGTCTCGCAGCGCCGAATTCGTTTATTCGGTATACTGTTAAAAAAATTCATAAAATTCATATACGTTAAGTACATGAGGTTGCAGTAAAATTATAAATTTGAAATGTGGGTACAGTTCAAGTAGGAACATTCCGACTCGCGACGCCGAATACGTATATTCGGTACATTGTTAAAAAAATTCATACACTTTTAGTACATAAGGTTGTAGTAAAATCAAAAATTTGAAATGTGGGTACAGTCCAAGTAGAAACATCCCGACTCGCGACGCCGAATACGTTTATTTAATACACTGTTAAAAAAATTCATAAAATTCATATACGTTAAGTACGTGAGGTTGAAGCAAAATTATAAATTTGAAATGTGGGTACAGTCCAAGTAGGAACATCCCGACTCGCGACGCCGAATACGTTTATTTAATACACTGTTAAAAAAATTCATATACGTTAAGTACATAAGGTTGCAGTAAAATCAAAAATTTGAACTGTAGGTACTAATTATGTAAATATTGCTTTTCGTTTGGTTTTTATGAGCCTTTTTCCAAATCCCAGTAAAATCCTAAAATTCGGCCGGTAATCTTCGCATCTCGCCCGGCACTAAAAGGGTTAATATACGTAAATTCCCCTCGATGGTTTACCCGTGAATCCACGGCCTCCTCATCGACGCCCCGCATATCATTTTTCATGGAAAAGCCCGATTTCTTAAGAGAGTCACGCAACAGAGGACTAAGCCACCGATCTCGATCGGACCACCGGCCTAGTCCTCAGGAAAGTGAAGGAACATCCGGGCATTTGAATGATATCCACTCACGGGTACAAAGCGTAGATAGCCGGCCGATAAGTCCCGAAGAAGACGATCGATCGGACGTCCAAGTAATCGAGCAACCTCGCGATCGAGCGATCGTTGGCCCCTAATGGGTCGATGGTTTCTCATGGAGTGCCCGAGCGATGATCAGGCCGGAGCCGATAAAGTCGGAACCGGCGGTCGATCCGGTCACAGCCGACCGGCGATCTCTCGGTAGATTTCTCGTCTCGTCGCTTTGGTGAAACGTGGCCATTACCTTCTCGCGTGTCCGGCCCAGGGTGAGTCGGGTGACACGGCGCGTCGAGGTGCGTCCCCGTACCTGCGTCGAATAATGCCCCGCCGAACAATGACGTGCGGTGATGTATGTGGGTTACGGGTCGAGCAGCTGTTACCCTCGACAACTGGTTCCTCACACTCCCGTGGCTGCTCACAATGTCACAATGACGTGTGAGCACTTGTGACAGCGTCGTGTGAGTACCGCGTATTACCCTGGAGTTTGTATTACAACCGCTTGGCTGCACGCAAGGGTGGCGCGACTCTTGACGCGAGCCTGGACGGTGCAAATGGCCAGAGTATTTCCCAACTCTGACGGATTGTAAATCACCTCCCTAGTGGCACAAAATATTTATCCTACATTTTCTATATATTTAACGAATATCGTACATTTTGTTAATATTTACCAGACATTTGAAATATTTGCCAAACGTTTACTTTAGAATATTATCTCCATAATATTTATATAATATTAGCTCCATTTGCTTCTTTGGACGGGC